CTCCTGGGCAATTTACAGCCACCTCAGAAACCCGCCCGAGGGCCAGGCAGAAGTCACTTCTGATGCCACAGCCATGAGTGTATATAGAAGCACATTGCCTTGTTTTCTCTTGAAAAGCTTAGTGAGTTCAGTTTTTGGTTCGCAGCCAAATTCTTTAATTTGGGAGGGTTTTGTTTGTTTGTTTGTTTTAATTTAATTTTATTTTATTTCACTATTTTTTGTGTGTACCGTCAAATCATGTCTGACTGATACAGGAGGAGATTGTTCCTCCTCCTCCAGCAGAGCATCTGGTGGACTCGAACCATGTGCCTCTGAGATTGCAGTGCAGCTTCTTGCCACTAGGCCACCAAAGCTCGCCTAATTTGGGAGGTTTTTTAAAGAAAATTTTTCTTTTCTACTGGTTTACTTACAAAGTTAGTGTACATTGTTTTTCACACCGGATCTTTCCCATTTCCTTAACCCATCCCTCCCTCCACCCATCAAATTGTGTGGCCCTGTGATTACCCCCCTGCCCACCCTCACCCCTCTGCTCCTACCCTCCTCTGCTTGGGTCCTCATACACATTTCACTGTTTTTCTTATTTCTACAATAATGTTCTTATACAGCATTTGTCCTGATGGGACCGAGTTAGTTCACTTAGCATAATGCTCTCCAGACCCTCCCTAGTTAAGTAGTAATTTTCAAAATCCTTACTCCTATGGACTGTGTGGTATTCCATTATGTGAATGTACCATAATTTCTCAATCTGTTTGCTTGTCGTTGGACCTTTGGGCTGTTTCCATGTTGTTGTGATGGTAAATAATGCTGCTATGAACACTGGTGTACAAGTCTCTATTTGTACGTCAGTTCTCATTTTCTCAGGATATATTCCAGGCAGTGGAATAGCTGGGTCATATGGAGATTCTATATTCAGCTTTTTAAAGAAACGCCACCCTTCCTTCCAGAGTGGCCGTCCTGTTTTATAGTTCCCCCAGCAGTGTGTAAGAGTTCTCTCTCTCCACATCCTCTCCAGCTTGGATCACTTTCTGTCTGTCATTCTTTCATTTGTGTCATAGCCTTTAGTCATTGGAGTTTCTGGTCTTATGGACTCACCTGCCCCCTCGTCTTCCACAGTGTGTTCCCTCTTTGTGCTTCCCTGTCTGTGATCTGTGATACAACCTGTTAAGTGACAGTAACCCAAATCCACCGGCTGCTCCTCAGTGAAAAGCTGGGGGTCTCCTCCCATAAAGAATCACAGCCTCGTCAACCCAGTGGGCGATTGCCAGGGGTCAGAGCCCGCTGGTTGGTTTAGTTGTTTGTCTCTGCTGTTCTTCACGTTGCTCAGCAGTGACTCTGGTTAGGACACACCCACCTGTGCTACTGTGGCCTCTTTAACATAGTAGAAAAATGCTATTTTCCAATGGGATCATATCCATAAAGAAGGGATCAGGGACCAGGATTTGAGCATATGTCTTTTGGGGACAAAATTCAGTGTATAAACAATGATAGTGGCTAGGACGCATTCTGGTGATGTATCATAACATCACGCTGTTACCAGAAGGTTGACAGTTCGAACCCACCAGTTGCTTCACAGGAAGAAGATAAGCAGAGTCCTCCTGTAAAGATTCATAGTCTCAGAGATGCAGTGGATGTTTCCGGTGAGTCATTGTCACTTGCAGTGGAGTTTTTGTGATGCTAGAGATGTCAATCCCAAGAGAAATGTTCCCCTCACATTGGCTGCTGGCCTGCCACACACTGAGCACTTCAGGGGTGTCATCTCCACACCCTCTATAACCAGGCTCCCGTCCTGGGGGAACCCACACGATCCCATTGTTCAGCAGTCTCCCCTCCTAAGGAGACTGGCCTAGGCTGTCCCTGCTAGTTCCAGCCAGTGCTGTTATTCCAGCCCCAACTCCTCTGACAGCCCTTTGTCCACCGCGCTGCTGGGGCCTCATCTCGTCCCATCCAGCAAGGACTTTTCTGTGCGCTCAGCCATGGTGAATATGTGAAAATGCACATCTCGAGGGCTGAAGGCCAGTGGAGGAACCTGGAGGTCATAGAGGGAAGTGACGGATCCGCTGATATAAGTAGGACATACTGAAGCAGGTCTCACTGCTGGGCAACAGGAAGCCAGAACCGTGAGCGTGAGTGGAGGGGCAGCCCTGTGCCAGCGGGCACTGGATATTGTGGGACAGAGGCTGACTCTATGTGGTGATCTCTGTGAGAGATCGAAGAGGAGTTCACACATGAAAGCTGTTTCTAAAATCTTAGGACTAGGGGGAAGAGCAGTGTTCAGAACCCTCGGGGAAGCAATCCAGTCATTCTTCAGTATGTGCTGCACCAATGTGACTGGCCATGAGATGCTGGTAGAATCGGGACTGTTGGGAAAGTGGACCGCTGGTCGTGGTCCTCGTAGCCCCTGAGGCCCATTGCATGGACACTGAAAACTGTCCCAGTCCAGTTATCATTGAGAGAGAACTCTGTTGGTCTAGTGGATAGAAAGTTATGCTACCAAGCCAAAGGCGGATACTTTTAATCTGCGGCCCTCAGGCCTGGTTTTAATGGTTTGGTTTGGTTTGGTTTGGTTTGGTTTGGTTTTTTTGTCAAACTTTCTTCTAAGTGGTATAGCACTGGTCTGTGCATTGCTGTACAGAGGTAACCCGTGGCTGCTGTGATGCTAAAGACTGTGACACTGATGTGCCAAATGCAAGAATGGTCACCCATGATAGAGTGTTTGGTGGAGCTCCCTGATTAAAACAAGCTTGGGAGCAGGAGTGGCATCCACTTCCAAAATAGCTGGCCTCCAGAAGCTCTCTGAACATGGAGAAATGATGAAAGTTATACAACTGTTCAGCTCTTTCGTTCATAGCGTCGCTGTGAGTCATCTGTGGCTCGATGGCACTTAACAGCAACAGCCGCTGAGTTGTAACCAACCCATAGCTGACCCTCCAGGGGCTTTTTCAGAGGCATTTAATTGCACAAGAGGAGACTGCGCATCTTTCTCCTGGAAGCAGATGGTGGATTCGAACCACATGCCTTCAGGAATTCCAGCGCAGCTTCTTACCACGGGGCCACCAGAGCTTCTAGCCCAGTAGCAGGTGGAGCGCCAGTCTGAGTTAGAACTTGGTGGCCACGCCTTTGACGATAGCAGTTCTGCTGTGTTGGAGGCCCGTTTGGAATCTTGCTATGTTCCTCTTTCTAAGGAGCAGCGTTCCTCACAGAAGAAGGGCCCTGGGGGACAGGACGGGAAGGTGGGGACTGGGCCAGGGTGCTCTGTTGTGTGGAACACACGGCGTCTCTGCACAGTGAGGGGGGTGCACCAGAGACCAGAGACCTGGACTCACGTTTTCCTTCCCCTCTCGCTCCTCTGTGACCCTGGGTGTGTCCTGAGCCCTCGCTAAGCCTCAGCTTCCTCATCTGTAAAATCAGGAGTAAAAGCTAAGTGAAATCAGATGCCCTGGACGGGCTGTCCCGGAAGAGTTGGAAGCCCACATTTCCGCACGTGGATTCTTCTGTCTGCTGAGCCCTGCTTCTCCTCAGATGCCCTTGGAGGAACCCCAAGAACATCTATGCCGGCTGCTCCCTCCCGGCCCTGGGCCTCCCCAGCTGCCTCGTCTAGCTCCACCCTGTGCGTCCCTTTGAGGAAAACAGGAATTCTCAGCCTTTTCCTTGCAGGGAAAACCTGCGAAGGAAGAACGGCCAGGGCCCAGCAGTTCCCTCAGGGAAGTCAGTGCACTGCGTGGGCCTGGGCTGGTGGCGGGCCCTTGTCGGAATGCCACGTCCTTGCGACCGTCCCCAGCCAGCACTCAGCCCCCTGCCATCTGGAGCGCCTGTCATGTGCTGGCTGGCACTCAGAAGTGCAATTAAGAGGCTTCGTTGTTAAAAGACACTGTTGAAAGAAAAGCAGAATGTGGGTGATGTGGGAACCCATTTGAAGCAATAACTTAGTGGTGATCTGATTTATGAGTTTGTCATTTCAAAGCAGGGATCATTTTGAACGAATACAGTTTATGGTGAAAACTGTATCCCGCAAAATTTTTCAGTCTTAATGTGTTCATAAAGTGTTTATGGTGAAAGTCGTTTGGAAGTAATTAGTACGCTTGAATGTCGTCTTTAATGGAAGTTGCCAAATGATACCTATTTCAGTCACTCAGAGCTCCCTGGGCTGACCTACGGGTCATGGACTCGATTTCTGCCTCCATTTCTTTATTCGCCACGATACCACCAGCGAGTGTGTTTAGTGTTATGACTGAACTGTATGCATTGTTGCGTACTGCTGAGTCGGAACCGACCCATAGCTGACCCTCCAGCGGGTTTTCAGAGGCAGTTAATTGCACGGGTAGAGATTGCCCACATTTTTCCCAGAGAGCAGCTGGTGAATTCGAACTGTGTGCCTTCAGGTAGGCAGCACCACTCCTTACCACTAGGCCACATTGCAGACTGTACATTGGGTATGTTTGAATCTCAAGAAACTCCTCTTGTGAATTCTTTCCAAGGGTGTGCATTATGACCTTATGACTGCTAAACGTCACCTCTGCCTGCTCCAGGCCCATGACCCTTGAGTGGCCTCAAGCAGATGTGTGCCCTGTGGGGTGGGCCAGTACCAGAGGAAGGGGGCAACCTGGGGGCTAACCAAGAAGAACCGACCAGGACACTTGAGGGGAGACAAGTTATTTGTGGGCATAAAAGCCAAACAAAATGCAAGCCCTCTGGAAATAACACGGTGAAAGGTATAGACTCTGGTGGAAGGAAGGCTAGAAGGGAGAGGATTACTGACAATTCTCAGGGGGAGTTAATTTAGGCTCGTGGGTCATGCCACACTAAAAATATTCACTTACTGTAGAAACTTAGTATTGACGGCTGAAGTCGAAATGTTCACTTCTGTTTTGTGTTAAAGATGACCCCAGTGCTTTGCGGTGTGTCCCCTGCCCCCAGGACCCCAGGTGCCAGTGCCCTGTAATGTCAGGACCGCAGGTGTGGATGGGCAGTTATCTGACTGTCCCTTGTCTTTTTCACCACAGGAAACACCAGAAGTCACCCCGAGCCCTATGGGTTTCGCCTCTCCCCAGAAGATGAAATGAGGAGACAGCGGCTGCGAAGATTTGACCACCCGTGATGTGGCACCACAGCTGGAGGAAACACGGTCCAGCTGTGGAACAGTTGCCCACCTTGTCCACTCCCCAGGCCCCCAGTTGCCAGCAGAAGCTGGGGATGCCTCTCTCCCCCACCGTCATGACAGTGGTCACATGGCTTCTCCGCGTCAGGATCCAGAACCCAGAGCAGCCGGCCCCCAGCTTTCAGGGCAGGTCCTCGGGCTGGCTGGGCCCCTCACAGGCCACATGCCTGTCCTGCGGGAAGGGCTACTTCCCCTCCCTTCCCTCCGCACCACTCGGGCCTTGCCTGGCTTACAGGTTTAGACCCGGTCTGTCACCAGGAGTGACGTGTCCCTCCCTCCTGTGGCCTGGGTCTGCTGACACGTGGTCATGGGGACTTTCTCAGAAAGGCATTGGCTACTTGACAGTATGTCTTCTGCATCTTGCCCGGACACCTCAGCTCACCAGGCCCGGACACCTGAGCCATGTGGACCAGGTTCCTTGCTTTGCTTGGGTATCACTGTGCCTTTAAAGAAGCTTCTACCGAAAACTCTTAGGACCTCAGCTGAGGTCAGCGCCTGGCCATCCACTCCACGTCAGGCGGCAGCCTCGTGGTGGGCTTAGCTGTGACGCCTGCACCTGGGAGACGTGACTCGTCCTGAGCTAGCCAGTATGTCAGTGACAGGTGCCACACCGAGCCCTCAGCCGGCTCCTCAGCCCTCCTCAGTCTCCAGCTCCTCGCCGAGAGGGCCTGGCTCACAGCGGTGTTTCTCTTCCTCACGAACGTGCCTCTGCCCACTGAGCAGCTCACCTGTCCTGCCAGGTGCCCACGTCCATGCCTCTCCCCTGCCATGTCCTCCTCAACAGGTGCCGTGTTCCTGGTGCTTGGGTCAGAGAAGGTGAATAAAAGGACACAGTCACATCACCACATGTCACCTTGTCACAGAGATATTTATCTTTAACAAGAATTGGAAGCAGAAAAGGGTCTTCCTAGGATTTAAGTTTAGCGTTTATATATAGTTTTCTGACTACGAGAGTAATATATACGAATCGAACAACACCTGGGAGAATATACATCCAGGAGTGCAGAGGCTGTCGCTGGAGGGAGGGGGTTTATAAGATTTTACTTCTTATTTTTTTACATTTCTGTATTGCTGCATTTTTTAAAATGTGTGTCTGTTTATGTGTGAATAGTGAGGCTTTATCTCAAGCACTTTGGGCATGTTTACTGGGTACTAGTCCCTGGAGAAGAACAGGATGCTTGGGAAATGGTCAGCGAAATAGAGGAAGACCCTCTATGAGAAGGACCAGCACCGCTGCAGCAACGGGCTTCCGCAGCGGTTACTGTCAGGACGGTGCAGGACGGTTCAAGTTTCCCATCTCACATGTGAGGTCACTGTGAGTCAGAACCAGCTTGACGGTCCCTAACAGTGTGTGTGTGTGTGTGTGTGTGCGCGCGCGCGCGCTATATAAAAAAAAATGAACCAGATATAATAAAAGAAGGCATTGCAGAGCCAGGAAAACCTATTTCATAGTTAAGTACCATGCGTCCCTGAGAAAACTCACAGTAATAACAAGTAAATACCTATGCAGTTTTGAAATTTCTTCAATTCCTACACCTTACAGATCCCTAGAACTAACATTCTGGGGAGGATTGTATACAGTTGACAAGTTTGGGGCACAGGGAGTATGTTGTTATGCACCTGCGCCCTATTGTGAGTCAAATTTAAAGACTGTGACCCTTAAATATAGATGAGCTAAGTGACCCCCTGAGTCTTGGGAACACCTAGACATGGCCAGCTTGTGGCACCGGGATGACACTGGAGCCCCTTAGATTAGAATTTACATGAAATTCTCCAAAAAACTCCAAACCCAACCAAAGCTCACATGCATTGCTGTTGAGATGATACCAACCTGTGGGGTTTCTGAGGTGAAATCCCAAGACCAGAGATTGTTCATCTTTCTCCCCAGGAGCCACTGGGGGGATGCAAACTGCCAGAGAGGGATGAGTGTCACTTTCCCAAATGGAAAGGAGCCCTGCGGGTGTAGTGCATCATGCAGTGCGCTAGCTACGAGGTCAGAGGCTCGAATCCATCAGGCACTCCTCGGGAGAAAGAGGAACAATCTCCCTTAGAGATTTTGAGCCTCGGAAATGAGATGGTAGGTTGCTACTTTTCAGATATTAACTTGATGGCAATGGATTTGAAGTTTAGTTTTCTAGCCAAAATAACTTTTTACATGTCGTTTTTGGTTTGGTTTTTTTCTTTTCTTTCATAGCACGTGCTAATTGCAACCCTGTCCAAATTATTTGTGCACATGAAATATAGGGCAACCATAAATGGGGTCAGCTTGATAGTAACAGCCACACAGGTATGTGCCTTCTACACGGGACAGTCTGATGATGGCCTTATGATGGGGCCATGCTGTTTATTATTTATTCTTCCCTCAACCCACCTAGAGGTGGATCCTGGTAAGGCTTCACTAAATGTTCATTTCCAAAAAATGTCCAATGTCCACCAAAGTGTGTGTCAGTCACATTCAAAGTCCAGTCACCAGATTTGGATTTTTTTAAAAACCCAAAACCAAACAGCTGTTGAGGTCAGTAGTAGCACTTGGTTGCTCTCTCTGACTTGTCACATGTGAAGACGTAAGAATGGACTCTTGGGCGCCACGGTCCTGTAATATGCATTCCTTCTTTGTTAGGAGCTTTAGTGGTTGAAGTTACTCGGTCACTACCTGGAAAGTTGGCAGTTGGACCGACCCGCTGCTCTGCGGGAAGACAGCCTGGCAGTCGGCTCCCTTAAGCATACACAGCCGTGGAAACCCTGTAGGGGAGATCGTCTCTGTCCTAGAAGGTGGTTAGGTCAACCCAGCCCTCGGGTTTGGTTTACTTCTTGAGTGGAACATCCCTAAACTTTTAGAGACACTGGGTCATTCTAATTAGAAACCAAGTTATTTTAGCACAGCAGTAAAAATGTCCTGGAAATTATTAGCAGTCTGTTCAGTTCATAGGCTTGCCTGTAACCAGTGCCTGTAGCCTTCTGTGCCCACTATCCTCCTGGTAATAGGAATTCCCAGAGTCCCTGCTGGAGCTGGAGGAGGGTTGAGGCCGCCAACCAAAAGCAAGTGTGTTAGACCAATGGTCTCCGATGGAGCAAGAGCATTGGGAGGTGGTTCTAGTTAGGTGGCCTCTGCTTCGATGGTTTCCGATTCTTGAGCATTCATTCCAGTGCCCGTGGCCGGGTGTGGCCAGTCCCCTCAGGAGAGCCCTTAACCGAGATCTTTAGTTGGTTTACGAGAAGGGAGTACTTCCAGTTCCTCCCTCATAGGACACTGGATGCGCTGCATGGCGTTCCAAAGCTGTAGAGAATGTCTGAGATCTCTGGCCTTTTAGATTGCTGCTGGAGAAGCTCAAAGTAAAATGGTAAGTGATTGGTTTATGAAGACCTGAGGCCAGAACCCCTACTGGGCACGTGTTCTGCCTGGGGCGTACGCCACAGGGATGAGGCCCCTCCCGTCAAGTGGACTGTACGACGTGGGCAGTGATAGACGTGGCCTCCCCGTTCCCAGCCTCGGTTTCTCTTGAGAGATTCAGTAATCAGACTTTCTGTACCATTTTAAAAACTTACTGTGTCTTCTTCCCAGGGGCTAGTGTAATCACTCTCTCTCTTTAACTCCTCCCTAAGTTTTCATTTCAGAACCACAGGCGGCTTATTGTTAGGTATCATCACGTCCATTGACCCTGACAGCGACCCCATGTGACAGAACTGCCCCACGGGGCTTTGTAGGCTCTGGGTGTGACCAGATCAGCAGCGCTTTCTCCTGCTGATGGATCACTTTGCCCGCCAGCTCACTGATTAGCAGTGGGACATTGGACCACCAGGGCGCTTTAGGCCCGACTTGGAAGGACCTGCTCTTCCCCTCTCAGTACTTATAACTTCCCTTCACTCATTTCTGCATCTTGTAGGTTAACCTGAAAAACCTATTTTTGCAGTGTCTTTCCTTTAAAGGAATGAGATGGGATGTAGGTCTCGAGTGAGCCCTTATGCCTGGTGGCTACTGACAAGTCGTCACTGCTGCTCTCCCGTCTCACCAAGCAGACCCTCCACCATGCTGGGCTTTCACCTGGAACCATCCTCGCCCCCTGCTCCTGGGTGCGGCCTCTCCGGACACCATGACCTGATCGACAGTGCCCATCCAGCCCACCACTCTCATTAGGGCCGCACCATCCTTGCCTGAAGGGTTTGAGCTCGCTGGTTTTCCTCCAAGAAAACAATGTCTCTTACGGAATGTAAACTTTGTGATGGCACGGGTCAAGTCTGTTTGTCCTTACAGTGCCTTATTCAAAGTTCTGTCTGGCATGTAAAACCAATAAACCAGTAATGAACACTGGATTGAAAGTCACATCATTTCTAGCGACACCAGCACTTAAGATGGGTCTCTTGTCTTGATAATTGTAGAGTTTCTTGCCTCTGTTACTGGTTTTCACTTGAATCACATAAAAGGGAGAATAATTTGATGGAAAATGTTTGCGCATAGATACAGAATTTGGGGCCTTTTGCAAATCTTCTGAAGATATGTGCACCGAGAAGTTAGGGAGATAGCAATCTAGAGTATCAGCCTGAAGACACCTTCTGCTTCCTCACGTGCTAGGAACGAGCTCTAGATTCCACCATGCTGACAACGTATCACCAGAAGTCACTGAGAATGCATTAACCGGGCATCATACCTTTCACAGAAAATGCCCTTATTGAGCTTCTTTCAGTAGCAGAAATAAAAGCATGGTATACCCTTTATCAAGGAAAAACTGTAGCATTGCAACAGAACTATCTAATTGAACTTGGTGATGAGAACATGACCTGAAGTGCTTGCTGCAAAAGGTCAAGGACTGCAGTCTTCAATACGGATTGAAATTCAACATCAAGAATATTGGTGTGACAAGAGTCCAGAATAAGAGCTGCATAGTAAATTGGTCTGGCAGGGGGTGGGGTGGGGGAGGGAGCAGTATAACAATGAAATAATT